ACTAAACTAATGAGATTACAGAGTATATTTTCAAGCTTGAATAATTAAAAACTCCTGGTGTGATCCCAAATGCTGAGGCACTATTGACTTTTCTGCATTCCCAAATCAACAGGGACCACTGGGTATATTGTGTATCCAATTACTGACTGCATAAACGGCAGATGATTGTGGGTAATATTGATCATGATGATCTTATAATCTGCAGGGTAAGTGCAAAGTGTACACAGACCCAATTTTAATACAAATGAGCAAGATTTCCAAAAACCACTGATTGTTCCTAGTCATGTTAACATATTGTCATATTTGCATGCAGGGTGCTTAGGATTTAATAAAACAAAAAGTGAATGGTGCAATTAGACATAAATACACTCTATACTGCCCACTAGAGGAATGGATTGTATTTGCTACAGTTTTGCCACATTAGATTTATCCATAATTTGTTTTGTTTTTTACAACTTTACAAACAAACATAAACCCTCAAGGCACAATGCTTTGGTTTTGTTCGCCGTTGTGTGTACAGTATGTGTGAGAAAGAGCACATTTGGACCCTGGTGTGATGTAAAATGAGGTGAAAAAGACCTAAGGGCAGGCAGAATCTCTCTCAGTTCTCCACAGTGTGGGAGGACAGATAGACACTCACTCAACAGCACTCTATGAACACCTAACCCATTTATGCACACACAGACACTGTGCCTTAGGACATGCATGAACATTAAACTCCATGAAAAATGAAGTGAAGTGAAGAATGGAATCCATTTAGTTAATAAAACCTTACTTGTATCACACTTGACGTGTTCATTGTTTACTCATAACCGGAGTCAATAATCATGCAGATTTACGTTACAAGCTTATAGAATTGTACAGTAAGAAAGTTATTTCCCTTAACCAGGAAATTAACGTTCTTAGAATTGACAAGACAGTTGACCCTGAGTGGTCAGCTAAATATCTACAGTGGATCTAAAATATGAATAGTTAACTATAACTAGTTGTGGTTAATTATTCATATTTCCCCATGAGCTGATTCGCTACATATGCAATCTAACAGCAAAGGCAAATATTCTTCTTCAGTTCAGCTCACTACAAATTAGCATTTCACTCAGACTCACAGAGCTTAAGATGTTTAAACTCCTGGTGCCTCATTAAGCACTGAAAAAGAGCTAGCCGTTCATGAATGTAAAATGTCTTGGTGTCCTCATGTGACACACAAGAC